CCAGCAAAAGTGTCATCGACATATCTGTACCAGTACAGTGGGGGATGAAGCGCAGAATGTATGGCTTGTGTTTCGATTTTGTTCAAGAATATATCAGCAAGAACGGGCGAAACAGGATTGCCCATACTTAAACCGTCTGTTTGTTCTCTCATTGACCAGTTGCCATCTCCCTTTTTACTTCTGGGAGACTAATGGATACAACCCCCTTTGGGGTGGTGCTGATATTGATGGGAGGGGTTGTTCCATAGAGCGTATGCTCTCGGATCATGACCTTTCTCTCTTTGATACTGAAACATATACTTATTTTCATGCACCTAGTCTGTCTTTTACTGCCATTGATTTCTCGATTTGCTTCCCTTCACTTTTCACTTGTTTTTCTTGGATGGTCAACAGTGACCCACAGGGCAGTGATCATTTTCCTATCATTACGTGTCAATGCCACCCGACCCGAATGCCACGGTGGAAGCTGGACCAGGCTGACTGGCCATCTTTCACCTCTCTCTCTCTGAACTTGATCCTGCCTTTGTCTGTCTGCCATCAATAGATGACTGTGTGGTTGCAGTGACTGACTGTATTGTCCAGACGGCTGCTCATTTTATTCCTAAGACTTCATCACGTTTTCCATGGTATCCTTGTTCATGGTGGAGTCCTGCCTGCCAGGAGGCACGGAAGGCTCAAAAAACGGGCCCGGGATACCTTCCGATGGTATCCCTCTGTTTCTAACCGCATTGTTTATCAGAGGGCCTGAGCACATGCTCGGCAGGTTCAATGTCAAAACCAAAAGGAGTCTTGGATTAAGTTCACTACTAGCATCTCTTCTACCACCAGTTTCAAAACTGTATGGGACAAGATTTGGAAATGTCACTGGGAGGTATGCTTCCCATCCCCTTTCCATATTGCCCTCCAATGGCCAGGAAGTTGCTGATGTCCAGAGCATTGCTTTTCTTGTGCTTCTACACTTCTGTTTTTTCCCCTGCCTTCTTGGCCATCAAGTCTTGGGCAGAATGATCACCTCTTTCTTTTCGGGCCGGTCGTCTCTATGATTATAATTGTCCCTTTACACTGGTGGAACTCAAATTTGGTCATCATTGGTCTGGTAGTACATCGATCGGACCTGATGATGTTCATTATGAGATGTTGTGCCATCTCTCTCCTGCCTCTTTTATTATTCTTCTGGTTATTTTTAACTGGATCTGGCAGGAGCATGTTTTTCCTGATGCTTGGCACCAGGCTATTGTCCTTCCT